TCTGTCTTCTCTTCGCTCCGTTTGCCCCATCAAAAGGATGGATGGGTCTCCTTGCTGCTTACCGAAGTCGTCCTGGTGCTCATCTTCCGTGCCTTGCTCGCCTTCGGCCGTTTGGGCAGCCTTTTTCCTGTGGAGGGCCGGGCCTGGAGAGGAACAGTTACCGTCAAAAAGACTTGGGAGCCGTCCTGTCTTGCTTTTCCTGGTGTTCTGGGAAAGGACAGATAACTTATCCCTGTCTTGGTCGACAGCTGTCTTCTTGCCTGGGGGGAGGTAAGGGGGGAGTCTAAAAGCCAGAGAGGTCAGGATCAACCTTCAGTTAATTTGAGGGACAATCTGGCAAAGGATTCTAGTCGTCCTCAATTACCATTAAACAATTACCTACCATTAAACAACCAGATGGAAATTTGAGACTTAACGCAAGGCATCCTTCACAGCATCACTGTTTGCAGAAATCTAATAAACTATCCTGGTTTTCAAACAGTTTGAAAATAAGCCTATCTGATGGTTTAATTTTATGCTATATTCTTTTCATTTAATGGCGTCCCATGCTTTCTCCCCACGCTGTACATAAAGTGCTTTTCAAATGGCCTCTGTGCTGAAGGAACTCCTTTTTCCTAAACGGCTGAGCGTTTGGTAGGACCCTCAATGATAAGGAGACGTGTGCTATTCCTCCAGGTACCTATTAGGAGACCACGGGAGGAGCATCAATATTGTTTGTTCAGAATCCCTCCCACCCATTAGAGAGCCACCATGTGCTCCAGTCAACCGATTCCAAGCGAGCGGTATAAAAGTGGGGTCAAGCAGCTTCTCTGCAGAGCTACGACCTTGTGGCAAGAGAGGCTAGCAACCACATCCAGGTACAGTGAACTTCCATCCCTCCCTCATGGTAAGGAGTCTGGGGTGGCTGCATCCTGGAGGGGAGCCACAGTCTGGAAGAGACTAAACCTTCTGGTGGTGGGTCGGTTCTCTTCTTTCCCTTTGGGAGAAAGGGGGGCTCCAGAAGGAGGCAGGGATGGACAGAAGGATGATTATGACGGGGAGATGAAGTTGCTCCCCAACTTCATCATCACCTACCTTAGAATGGGGGTGGGGGGAATGAGAATTATCTGGAGGGCCCTTTGAATCTTTTGCAAGGAGGGGTAGGACAAGAGCAACTCAAGGGATGCTTAGGCAGCTGCAAGGGGGACCCGAAATGCTGAGGGTCAGAAAGCGCTCGCCAGATTGGGAAGAGCCCGTGGATCTGAGTTCGCTCCCCTGCATCAGACTGGTACAACATTTGCTGCCTCATTGTCAGTCCCAGCTCTGGTTCTCTTGCATCTCCTCTGGGTCATCCTGAAAAGGGGTCCTGGCTGCTGAGTGTGTCGCTGACTGAAACGCTTGGAATAGCAGGGAAGAAGGAGGAAGGAGGAGAGGGAAGGGAAGGGAGGAAAAGGAAGAAAAAGAGGAGGAGGAGGAGGAGAAAAAGAGAAAGAAAAGGGGGGGAAATCTACAGTGCTAATGCTCTTGTCGCTAGCCAATTAAGAAATCATTCCTGAGTCAGGGCAGCAGGAATGGGGACTAACTTCTCTAAGTTGACCAAACTGTTCACTTGGGCATCGTGAAGTTCATATCAGCACCCCCAAGATGGAAGTTGACCTTGCCACCTTCTGCAGAGCCTCCGGTGAGTAGGAAGTCAGCATGATTTGAAACAAGTACAAGGAAGTATGAGCACGCCCTCCCCCAGATGAAGACGCTGGGGCCGGAGAAGCATCCTACAGCGGCTGTTTTCTCTCCTGTGGCATCTCTGGGGTTGAGAGAGCGGGTTCTGCTGCTGCTAACAGAGGGGCTGTGCTTGGAAAACTTAAATGTTTAATCCTTAAATATGGGAGGGTGGGGCGGGGGGGCCAGGAACTTAGCACAGCCCCTCTGTTCGCAGCAGAAGAGCCAGCCCTCTCAAGCCCAGAGATGCCACCGGAGAGAAAACAGCCTCTGTAGGATGCCTCCCTCTCCTGGCACAGGTGCCCTCTACAGCTGGCTTGACAGGGGCGAGGCTGCCACAGCTTTGGTGTGGAAACCCCAATCGGGCAGAGAAGGAGGCTGCCTCCCCAAGGGACAATTGAGCAGCTGAATCCTGCAGAGGAGAGACTTCCCCAGTTCTAGCCTAACAAAGAATGGCTGAATTAAATCTTAGCCAGGAACAAAATCCAATGTTGGAAAGAAGGTAATTAATCTCTAGTTCTAGATGGAAAAGGCTATAGGGCAAAGTTGGTGAGAACAGGATGCTGTGTGTTAATTGAGGGGAGGGAGGGAGGGAGGGAGGGAGGGGGAGAGTACTGGGGCACCTCAAAGGAACAAGACATCCTCAGGGGCAGCAGGAAGAGCAGCCTTTGGACAGGCAGGGGTGTTATTAACCAGCATAACACAGTCTTCCCCCATCACCACCAATCTGCTTGAAATTGGGAGCAAACAAGCCAGGTTCCATTGACTCCCCTTCTATTGGATCTGGCAAAGGCATCCTGGAGCTGAGTAGACCTGGTTTGCAAGCCCCCACTGGAGACCCTGCCCCAGAGTGGGGAGGGGGCTGTGCATATGTCTGATCTCCTGCGGGGGCCGGGGGAGTGTTCCTGCCCCTGAAAGAGAGGGAGCAACTGATCCAGCCATGGGGTGATATCAAAGTGTTTGCTGCCCTGAGTTACCTATCAAGTAATAAAATCAGAATAGAAATTAATTGAATCAATAAATAGCCCAATATATAATTAGGTCAGACAACCAGCTTGACAATATAACTTCAAGTTTGGTACAGCAATCCACCTCACTTTTTTGCACTTCCTAGAATACCAGATTTGATCCTCAGTCCTTTATTTAATCAAAATAAATTACTTATTTGTCTAAACCATCTTTTCATAGAATATAGAATATAAAATCATGGGGCTGGAAGGGACTTTGGAGGCTCAAGACAGGAGACCTGATATCATCCCGGTCTAGTTTTGATAATGTCCAGTGATGAAGCCCCCCCAACTCTGGGGGTCTCTTCCTCCTGTCCTTCAAATCCCCTTGATTGCTTTGCTTGGTCTTCTCCTGTGTGGGGAAAGGTCCAAATGGACTCAGGCAGAATTAACACCCAGAATAAGGAGAACACCCAGAAGAAACTCCCTTCCTGAGCAGAAGGAGAGACACACTGCGAATAAAGAGAAACGGTTAGGAAGTAAATGGCTCCCATGAAGGAGCGAGGACCAGATCTATTCGGCCTGAGAAGCTCTTTCTAGGATCCTTAAGAAGCCCTGGAGGCAGGAATGGTGCCAGAGGACCAGAGGAAACCAAATGTGCCGGACTCCTAAAAAAAGAAAATATCTATGTCATTTCGGACTAGCTGGCCAAACACCTAATTGTCTGTCTGATGAGCAGGGTGGCTGTAATATTATTATTTATTCTTTTTATTATCTTCTTTACTTCCCCTTGTCAATGGTGGTATCATCATCATCATCAGTGATTTAATCTTCAATTCGATTGACAGTCTGGGACTGGTAAAAACAATCCAAGTCCTAACCAAGGACCCAAGAGCTCTTAAGGTAACGCCGGAGTCTGGATAGGCAGTTCCGAGTAAAGCGGGGTTTTGCCAGGACCGATAAAATTCAGCATTCCCAGGTATCTGGGCCGCCCTTTGGGTATTGCTCCAAGGGCTCCTATTACTATCGGTGCCACCACTGGTTTCTTCCTCCACAGTCACTCAACTTCAATTTTCAGATCGTGGTATTTCACTATGTTTTCTAGTTGTTTCTCTTCAATTCGTGTATCACCTGGTATTGTAATATCAATGAATCAGACTTTTCTTTCCCACAATAGTGATGTCAGTTGTGTAGTGGGCCAGATGTCTGGATTTGAAAGTCCATCATCATCATCATTTTCTCTGATGCTTTGCAAGTACACTGAGTGCTTCTGTATCAGAGACAAACTCCTTGTGTGTCTAATTACACTTGGACAAATAAAGTATTCAAAAATCTCTCTCTCTCTCTCTCTCTCTCTCTCTCTCTCTCACACACACACACACACACACACACACACACACACACACACACACCCCAAGGCCTGAGGCTGCAGTCATTGATGCCTGCGCTGGGCAAAGAGGAACTAAATAATTTAATCTTTGCTTCTCTCATTCAGATGCATCAAAATGCAGATTCTTCCCCTTTCACTCCACCGGCTATGGAACAATGGCAAAATGGTCCAATGGCTTGCCATACGGGGGGCACTGGATTACAGGGGTCCCATTTCTCTCAGTTGAACCCCGTGGTGCTCCTGTTATGCAATCCCTCAACAGCCAAACGGGAAGCATGAAGTAGAATACATCATACCAATCCTTTCAGCTTTAAGGCATCGCCACGACTATCTGCCCCATCGATTCAGTTGAAATGGCTCCCATCAATCTGTTAAACCCTAAATGGCTTAAGATACAGCACCTAAAAATGGTCTCCCTTCCGAGACAGCCTGTGCACTGTGATCTGCTAGCCAAGGCCGGCTTGGGTTCCATCCGTGGGCCTGATGCACGTGGGAGTGAGCTTGGGAGGCAGGGAAGAGCAGCAACCAGAGCAGAGCAGAGGCAGCTTAGCCTGGAAAGTGGGTGTGGCCCTTCCTAGTTTCTTGGTCTACGAAGATGGAGGGGAAGAGATGTACCTTCAGACTTGCAAGATTCTGTTCATGTAACTTTGCCAGAGTAGAATCTGTGCTTCTTGTCAGGACGACCTTGCAAAGGGGACATCAGTCTTGCAAGCCTGAAAGGACATTTCTCCCCTGTCGCCTCTGCAGCCCCCACCCCTCCACTGCCCCCTTTAGTGGAGAACCCTGGAGAGTTACAGCCAATCCCCAGGCAGTCTAGCTTCACATGTAAGGTAATGTTATTTGTTAGCTAAAATAACTCTGGGGCCAGAATGTCAATGAAGATACCGTTTTAATGGAAACATCTTATTTAATTAGTTTTTATTCTCTTTTATGGGATACAGATGTAGATATATTTTTGTGCACTGCTGTTTCCATCCTTTGGGAGGCACACCTGCTCTCAGTTAGCCTGCACTAGCCCCATCTATGACGCACACAGGGGCCCTTATGAAGGAAAACAAGCATGCCCCCCTCGATTTTCTGCATTTAATTGGGGGGGGGGGTGATGTATGCCTTGCAATGGAGATGTTTGCCTCACGCATCTGATCAGCACAGTGAAGTAAATAGGTTGTCTTTGGAATTGAATAACCTCATGCCTGTATCTCGCACTCAGGGTCCCGAGTGTCTCTGAGAAATGACAGAAAAAGTATACCGATCATAGAATCCCAGAATTATAGAACTGGAAGGCCCTTTGAAGATTCCCTAGCCATCCCCCTCCTAGAGCAGGAATCTCAGGCGAAGTCTTGCCTGGTCTCTTGGCAAGTCTGAATAGGTACAACATGCCACTTAACCAGGCTTAGTTTGGACTCTTCCACGATGCAAGTTGGAGAAATGTGTTTTTTAAAGTGAAAATAATATAGAACATCCATTTCTGTCTTTTGAATAGTTGAAAATCACCTGTTGTGGCAGAGTAAGGAATAGGGAGATGGGTGGAAGGGCGATGTTAGGAAGGGTCTGGAATGTGGGTTTGTGCCGTGATGGATGGAGACCATGAGGTGACAACACAGCCTTCTGCTTGACTGCCGCTTGGTGGCTCTGGGTGGGCCTCCCACCCTCCCCTGAACTCTTCCGCTTGGCCTTACAGGGATCATGTTGAGGCAACTGCTGCTGTCCTTGGGAGTCCTACAGGGGACCCTGGCCTTCCTGGCTTCTGGCCATGGCCATCTGGACGAGAGGGGACCCATCCTGGAAGATCCAGGCAGGCCCAGTTCCACAGGCCTTGAAATGGCCAAGGAGGTCCACATCCCAGGTGAGTGTTTCCATATCTCCTCCATGCAGCTTCCAGATGTTCCCATGTTTGGTTGTTGGGGAATAGAAAAAGTTGATAGAAATGACAATTCATTCTTAAAAAGAAGAGAGTTTCCTGTATGCTCCCAAACCTTCCCACACTAGAGAGTTTTCTCTTGGTGGCTGTTTTGATTTTGTTAGCCGAAAATTGTTGTTTGTGTGACTGGATGATTATCGAGTAGCTTACAGGAGATTGTAAAATACATGCCCCCCCCTGCCCCCCCATGAACAATACCCAACTGTCCTTGGTCCCCTTAACCCTAACAAAGCAGAGGCCTCCTGTTGATCACCGAAGAAGCACATCTTCTTCAATGGGCTCATGAATGGCCTGGAGAGGCTCTGGTCCTTACACACACACACACACACACACACCGCCGTGCAAGCTCACAGGACGAGCTGTGGCTGGGTTTTTCTTTTTCAGATCAGCCTTCTTTACTGGATCATTGTTGTATGGATTCTTACAGGAAAGATGGGATATAAATCTAACTAAGTTTACAAGTACAGCCTTAACCTATGAAAGGAACATCATTCACAAAGCCCAGGACAATTTGATGGGGTTACTTGTATTTGTTACTTCAATTTATGGCCTAATGGTTGCCTCAGTTATTTGTGGGAATCCTTACCAGTGCAATTTCTCTGCTGTTGCTGCACATTTGTATTCCAGCTCCAACAATGAATGAGCGAAAAACACCCAAGTACACAACCAATGAGGTATATAAGCAACCTCATTCCTTCCAATAGTAAAAAACCATAGAGATTTTTTTTTTAAAAAGACTGTATTGAAGTTTTCAGACTAAAGCATCAAGACCACACATTAAGGTCCCTTTAAGAAGATATATTGCTCACCTCTATGCACAAGAATCTAGTTGATGGAATTCGGGGTGGGGTGGGGGCCTGGACTTGGATTGTTTGTGGGAACTTAACAGCTTCAGGCTGATTCCTCTCTTGACTCCACCCCCCCTCCCCAGGTTCTTCTTCTCCTACAAAAGAGCAGTTATGCCAATACATGAAGATGATGCGACACATGAAATTCCAAAGAGGGAATAAAAATAACCACCCAAAGAAATGAAAGACATAAGAGAAGAGATAAAGGAGATGTCCCACAATTCACTATATACTTCATGTCTTTCCGCCTTTCCAAATAATTCTTGCTTCCTTGGAAGATTGAATGGAGATTGAATGGATCAATAGGAAAGCCAAAAATGGGGTGATTGCATGACATTGATGAGATTACCAATAAATAAAAATAGATAAATCGGTATAAGAATTGATGGAAGCAAGAATTATTTGCAAGGGGAGGGAAGTCCTGTTTGTTTATTATCAAATTTATATATTTAGAAGTGACTCTTGTGGGTGTTGGACTAGATGACCTACAGGGTCCCTTCCAACTCTGATTATCTGTTATCTTGATAGACTCTGTGCAATATCTAGGAAAAAAAATAAAACCATAAACATGTCAAACACATTCTTATTAAAATAAAAAACAGACCCACTGACTGAAGAGATTCAATCAGCAGTGGAGCCATATCTTAGTGGTCCCCTAAGCCCCCCCCAGCCCCGGCCTGATGACGAAGGCAGGCATTGGGGGACTTTGGTGAGTAAGGAGGGATGGAACTGAGCTTACTTCAGAGAAGAGGGTGCAGAGGGCCAGGCAAGAGAGAACCTTCTGGATGTAACCAGGAAGAGGCAGTCCTTTGAATAACTCGTCCCTAACCCTTAAGCTGTCAGTATACTTTCTTTATATTCCCTAACACCTTCGCAGGTTTACCTCCCACCTTTCCCTCACTGGCTGAGTGCTCAGGCTGTCACAATGGGTCAGAGGCGCCTAAAATGAATACATTATTCCCTGCCCCTTATTGACAATTTATCTTTCACAGCTATTAGTTTGGGGGGGGGGGTTGTCTATAAATCAACTACCATGCCAGCAAAATCTAGCTAAAACCAGTTTTGAACATACCAGGGGCCTCTCATCCCTTCATTAGTAGGTGCAGCTTTAGGCTTGAGCAACATTTTTGAGATTAGATAAGTACACGAGTTATCCATTTCAAAGACTGGTGTGTCCTTCTACAATTTCTGTAAAAACAATAAACTCCTTTCCCACAATACTATGGGACTTCTGAAATAAGCCTCAGTCCAGTTTGGCTTTTCAAACTCCTTCAGCTCTTGGAATCTAATTTTACTTTCTTTCTTTCTTTCTTTCACAGATTTTAAGCAAGTGGCTCTGGAAACACCAAGAGTCCAGGATGATCTTGCACCAGAAGCCAGCATGATGGTAACCTAAATCATGTTTGACTCATTCTGCTCCTACAAAAAGTAGATCTCCAAAAAATAACCGTCATCTGTTTCCTGCTTTGATGGATAGGAACTCAGCAGGCTCCTCTAGAGATACAAGAGGGGGTCCTTCCCAGCCCTGGAAGCGTTTTAACCCAGGGGTCTCCAACCTTGGCCACTTTAAGCCTGGTGGACTTCAACTCCCAGAATTCCCCAGCCAGCAAAGCTGAATTGAAGTCCACCAGGCTTAAAGTGGCCAAGGTTGGAGACCCCTGGGTTGACCTAGAGAAACATTTGCTATTCAGGACCCCATGATTTCCATGCAGAAGGCCCCGTTTTCTCAGGTGTAGCTGAGAAAGAGCTTCCCTGGCCCAGTTAGGTCCACGGTCTGATGTAATCTGCCCACTTCATACCTTTTTAAAGTGGATTACTTGCATATGTTTTGCCAATCCATCAGTTTACAGAATGCCCCTCTGTCAAATTGGAATGCCAACCTTTACACAGTTTAGACCACCAGAATATGCCATGTTTGGAGGGTCCCCATTGTCTTACAGCGGAAGAAACTTCTTTATAACCAGATTAGTTAGCTGACTGTCCACCTAGAACAGGGATCCCCAAACGGGGCCACTTTAAGACTTGTGGGCTTTTAACTCTCAGCTGGCTGGATAATTCTGGGAGTTGAAGTCCACACGTCTTAAAGTTGCCAGGTTTGGAGACCCCTGGCCTAGAAGAACTCTTGTGCAACTTTAGATATGGAAGCTCCTTAACGATGGTGCCAAACCACCTGGAAATAGGTTTTAAGAAAGTATCTTGACAGCTTCCAAGTGAAATCCCACCCTCAAGTCATCACAGTTGAACTTGTCCACACCAGTTCTCCTCCTCCTTCCCTCTGCTTTAAGCCGCGTGGGAGCGCACAGCAACAGGGTGTTAAGCAAGGGAATCTTCAAAGATCAGCATGCTATACGCTTTGCAGCTGGTGCCATGTTTATCTTGTTGAATCCTAGAATCAGAGGGCTGGAAGGGGCCTTGGGGGTCTTCTAGTCCAACCCCCTGCCCATAGCAACAGACCTTATGTCACCCCAGACAAATGGCTGTCCAACCTTTTCTTGAAAACCTCCAGTGATGGAGCCCCCACAGCTCTGGGAGGCAAGCTGTTTAACTGGAGACATTCACTGTCAGGAAGTAGTTCCAGGTTGGATCTCTCCTTAACAAGCTTCCACCCACTGTTTCTTGTCCTTCCCTCAGGGGCTTTGGAGAGTAAGTCAACCCCACCTCTTGGTGGTCCCTCATGTACTAGAAGATGGCTATCATGTCACCCTAATTCTCCTATTCGTTAGACCAGATCTACTTAGTTCCCTTAACCAGCCCTTATGCAATTTAACCTGCAACCTTTTACCACCCCGTTGCTCTTCTCTGCACTCTTTCTAGGGTCTCAGCATCTTTTTTGCATCACGGTGATGAGAATAGGATGCAGTGTTCCAGGTGAGGCCTCCTGGCTGTAGTGCAAAGCAATACCATCACTTCTTGTGATCTTGATACGATCCCTCTGTTAATGCAGCCTGGAACTGTACTGGCCTGTCTGGCAGTTGCAGCACATGGCTAGCTCACATTTGATTGGTGGCCCATTAGGATGTCCGGCTCGGCCTCTCTCAGAGCTGCTGTTGTTCAGCCAGGCATTTGTTTTTTCCTGCCTAAGTGCAGGACCTTCTCTCACCACTGAACTACATTTTAACAGAATAACATATGGTAGTTGGAGGTCTTTTTTTTTTTTTTCTTGGAGGTCTTCTAGTCCAACCCTCTGCTCAAGCAGGGAAATCTATACATTTCAGACAAGTTTTTCTTCAAAACCTCCAGTGAGGGAACAACCACAACTTATGAAGGCAACTAATTTATTATTCTGTCAGGAAATTTCTCCATTGTTTCTTGTCCAGATGCTTTGTAGAATCGGTTGACCTACTATATCTTATCAGCTAGGCCCTATGCTCAAGTCTGGCAATACCCTTCTGAATCGTGAATCTATCCTCCAAAATGTTAGTAACTACTCCCCCCTTAGTGTTGCCTGCAAACTTGAAGAATTCCCCTCCTACCCCCTCGTCTAGATCACCTGTGAAGATGAAGGGCACTGGCCCCTAGACAGAGCCTTGAGGTACCTCCCTGCATGCTTCCCTCCATCTGGATTAAACATAAAAATAAACCAGCTTTGCATATCAGTGAAGAGTTTTTCTGCCTAAATGTGAAGAGTGAAGCGAAGAATGAGCAGGCAAGGGATGCCACAGTGCTCTAATCCTGTGGTGGAACCCAGCGAATCTCCTGGCACCGAAATGACTAAGATACGGACCATAACTTAAGCTTTCAGAGCAGTTGCTGCAGTGTGTGTGGGGTGGTCGTGTGTGTGTGTGTGTGTGTTCGGGTCTTTTCCCGTGTAAGATTGAGAGCATCTTGGCAACGTTTCGACGAGGTCCCACTCGCCATCTTTTGGCTTCATACTTGTGCGAGCAAAGCACAAAGCCGAAAGCACCAGCCTGAAGATGGCAAGTGGGACCTCACTGAAATGTAGCCAAGATGCTCTCAATCTTACATGGGAAAAGACCCGAACGCGCCAAGACCTGCATACACATATATATGTATGTATATATATATGTATGTGTGTATGTATACATGTATGTGTATATGTGTATATGTATGTATGTATGTATGTATGTATATATATATATATATATATATTCGAGTATTTTCCCACGTCATTATAGTTGTGCTTTTAAAGTTATAGCAACGTCTGAAAGCCTGACTCACAGACGAACACAATACAGAAGCCTGATGATGGCAGATGAGATTCTGCTGAAACGTTGCTACAACTTTAAAAGCACAACTACAATGACGTGGGAAAATACCTGAACAAAGCTGAATACCATACATACATACATATATACAAATATTAGTAGATGAATGTAAGGCTCGTTTTGAAGGTTTTAAGATTGGACAGATTGATCCTCCTGGTGGAAAGGCTGCCTTCCTGGAGGCAGCTCTGAGAAACTCAGGCTTGCCCACTGGGGGCTAACCAGGGCTTGTGCCTCTCCTAGAGGCCCATTAGTAATCGATAAACGAGGCTTAGAGATTCAATAATAAACCCTGGCTTAAAAACGTCCCAGACTATTTTTTCTAGTCTATGCCTTCACTCATTTTAAAACATACATATTAAACTGCCATATAGACAAGCGTGGTTTTCTCTCCTTAGCAAAAAGCAATTTTTAATGTATTTCCCAGCTAGGTTCACTTTAGAATTCCTCAGACCTGTGTTAAATGTTACCCCCGTGATTCTCTTTGCGGTCTCCTTGCAGATTATGTCAGCAGCACTGCAGGGCCAGGAGCGGGAGGGCCGTTCCCCGCGGAGATGTGTCCGTGTCCAGGAATCTTGCCTCGGGCACAAATTGCCATGCTGTGACCCGTGTGCCACTTGCTACTGCCGCTTTTTCAACGCCAACTGCTTCTGCAAGAAGTTTAGCACCACTTTCCCCTGTGGGAGGAACTAGCTCGCATTCTGCAGGCTGTCATTTATTAATCTTGAATTGGTTTGGTCCATATACATTCCTTTTACATTCCAATAAATCGCCTATGAGAAAGAATCCAAGAAATGTGACTTTTTTTTCATTAATGATGTTAAATAAAAGCTAAAAGCACTTTAGCTTCAATTGTGATTCTCCAGTTTTCATGCAACCTTAATCAAAACAGGAATGTACCAGGGTCCCCAGCCTTATTTATATCTTATTTCCATAACCTGACTTTTACCTTATTGTTCAAACCTATCCCTACTTTCCATGGATTTCTGTTTTCCAGATTCCAATACACTGTTCAGATTCTTTTATTTATAAAAACATCCTTTTGCCTCAACTCAGCAGGCAGGAGTCAAGCTGCCTCTGGTTTCTTCTAATGGGAGGGATATTCCCTATTCTCCAAATCAGAACTCAAAAATATAGAGAGGTGACTCTGAAACAGACCTCATACATATGAAACATATGGTAACACCCAAGAGAATGGTGAATAGAATATATAAAGCAGAGAATAAAAAATAAATATGAAAATTTATCAAAAAGTGTCTCTGGACAACTTGTTCTAGGTATACTACAGGTAGTCCTTGATTTATGACAATTGAGCCAAAATTTATGTTGCTAAGTGAGAAATTTGTGAAGTGAGTTTTACCCCATTTTACAGCTTTTCTTGCCCCATTTATTAAGTGAATCACTGCAGTTGTTAAATTAGTAACAGCATCGTTAAGTGAATCTGGCTTTCTAAGTTGACTTTGCTTGCCAGGTCACAAAAAATGATCCCATGATCCCAAGACACTACAACCGTCATAAATATGAACCAGTTATCCAGCATCTGAATGCAAATCACGTGACCTTGGGGGAATGCTGCAATGGTCATAAGTGTGAAAAATGGTCGTAAGTCACTTTTTTTCAGTTGTAAGTTTGAACAGTCACTAAGTGAACTGGAGGACTACCCGTTTCCGCCAGGCCAGGTTGCTCCAAAACCTTTTGTCTTTCAGGTTGCAGAAATAAAGGATTTGGGAGGGAAGAACAGCGCAGCAGAGTCTGGGCTGCAAAAAATGTTTTAGGTTGAACACCTTCCATGAAAAGACCAGCCGGACGTTTGTCTGTCTGGCAGCACCGGGGATAGCAGGGGGTGCCCAGCGCGCCTCCTCCCAGGGGCGGCCTCGGGTCCCCAAAGGGTGAAAGGCCCCTTTCCAGCGAGGGAATGTTCTGGAACAACCCTCTGAAGCCCTCGGGAGGGAGGCCCGGCAACGGCCAGGCGGGGCTTTGTATCCCCCCGAGGGCCAGTCCCGCCAGGGGCGATTCTGCAGCGGCTCCTGGAGAGCCGGGAGCCCCGGGGCGCCCAACAGCCGCCCTGCGGGCCCAGCCACGACCCCCCCGGGCTCTCCTAGTCGCAGCTGCCTCAGGGAAGGGCCGGGCCCCACAACGCCGCCCCCCCCCCCGGAAGCCTGACTCTCGGCCTCGCCCGCAGCTGCCACCCACCGAGGCTTCGGTTCTGGGCCTCCGCCTGCCCTCGGGAAAGATCCCCGCTCCCTCCCGCCCGCCTTTGCCCGCTCTTGGAAGCTTTCCCGGCGGCTGGGCTCTGTTGCCGCTCAGGGCCCTCGGAAGGAGCCTGGCCAGCAGAGGCTGGGAAAGGAGGCGGGCAGCCGGGCGCGGAGGCACCGGGCCTCCCGCCCGCCTTCCAGGCTCCCTTCCAGCTGCCGGACTCCCTCGGCGTCTCCCTCGCGTTCCAGCCCCGCTCCCGTCCCTCCAGCGGAGTATTTCTGGCCCAGCCCAGGTGGAGGCGCTCTCCCGAAGACGGGAAGCCCTGGCGGCGCCGGAAGCCGCTCCTCTGTGTGTCTCTATGGCCTCTGCGGCGGCGGAAGTGCTGGGCGTCACGGGACAGACCGGGCTCCGCCGCCGCCGCCATCATGCTGCTCTCCTGCTTCCCAGAGCTCTACTTCAACGTGGACAGCGGCTACCTGGAGGGCCTGGTGCGCGGCTTCAAGGCCGGGGTGCTCAGCCAGGCCGACTACCTCAACCTGGTCCAGTGCGAGAGCCTGGAAGGTCGGTGGCGCAGCGGCGGGCCTCCCTCCGCCCTTCGGCTGCCGGGCCCGGGGAGGGGCACCGCGGCCGCCTCTCCGGTTTCTGCCGGTGCCGCTTTGGGGGTGGCCTCGGGGAGGGGCGGGCTGGGCGGCGCCGGGCCGTCTCGGCCGACCTGCGTGGGCCAGCGGGGATGCGGCGTCTGGTGCCGGGGCCGAAAAAAGAGGAAGCGGCGTCCGGCGCGGCTGTGCTTTGCTTTGCTTTGCCTGCGGGAAAGGGCCTTTGGGTGACCCCGCCGGGGAAGGGTCCCGCTTGCCTTGGGCCTCATGGGTGGAATCCGCCTTTGCTTGCTCGCGTCCTTTGCCCTGAATTCATTCCCCGCCTGTCCGTTTCCTTCCCCGCCCGAAGCAGCTCGTGAGGTTTAAAAACACGGAACGGCGGGCTTAGAATTGGGGGAAGTTGAGACCTTCAAAGGCGTGAAGGAGAAGCGCTCTTGGCACCTTCGGGCATTGTGGGAGGGAAGCCGGTCCCTGGGGCGCAGGAGCCCCTGCCTGCCTCCCCAACGGTGGCCAGCCGCCTTTGCAGGGCCTTTGCGGGCAGCGGTTCGTTGGTCCTTTCCTTTCTTTTAACGCTCCAGCGGGGCAGGGAGAGGGTCCCCCTGGCTGGGGTCAGCGGCCTGGCTGGCTGGTCCTCCCATTCCGTGCCCGCTGTGCTTTCTGGACGCTACCCGAGAGAGAAGGGCAAAGGGCCTTTCAGGGCTGGTAGCCAAAGCAGAGGGAACCCCCGCTAAGTTCACGGCTGCCAGTCTGGCTGCAATTGTAGGAACTTTTTGGAATCCAGCCACAGCTGAGCATCCCAGACAGCAACCAGGCTTTCTGGGGCATAGAAGAACCCCATCCGGAGCATCTCAGAACCAGAACCTCCGCCAGGCTGCCCTTTCACTCCTGGGCGCTGTTTTCCATTGCTGCATCAGGAATTATGTGTGCACTTGCAGACGTGGTGTGCCAGGCCCGTTCCTCATGGTCGGTACAAGATAAAAGCCAATACCTTTCTGATTTTTCCTCATCCTTGATGTTATCCCAGGTATCAAGGTAATGGGTCAAATTTTAAATCCTTTTTAAAAATACACTGCTCAAAAAAATAAAGGGAACACTTAAACAACACAATGTAACTCCAGGTCAGTCACACTTCTGTGAAATCAAACTGTCCACTTAGGTAGCAACACTGATTGACACTCAATTTCACATGCTGTTGTGCAAATGGAATAGAACAGGTGGAAAGCAGAGGCAGTTAGCAAGACACCCCCAAGAAAGGAGTGGTTCTGCAGGTGGTGACCACAGCCCACTTCTCAGTTCCTATGCTATGAGTCTACAACCCACACAAGTGGCTCAGGTAGTGCAGCTTATCCAGGATGGCATATCAATGCGAGCTGTGGCAAGAAGGTTTGCTGTGTCTGTCAGCGTAGTGTCCAGAGCATGGAGGTGCTACCGGGAGACAGGCCAGTACATCAGGAGACGTGGAGGAGGCCGTAGGAGGGCAACAACCCAGCATCAGGACCGCTACCTCTGCCTTTGTGCAAGGAGGGACAGGAGGAGCACTGCCAGAGCCCTGCAAAATGACCTCCAGAGGGCCACAAATGTGCATGTGGCTGCTCAAACGGTCAGAAACAGACTCCATGAGGGTGGTATGAGGGCCCAACATCGACAGGTAGGGGTTGTGCTTATAGCCCATCACCGTGCAGGACGTTTGGCATTTGCCAGAGAACACCAAGATTGGCAAATTCACCACTGGCGCCCTGTGCTCTTCCCAGATGAAAGCAGGTTCACACTGAGCACATGTGACAGACGTGACAGGGTCTGGAGACACCATAGAGAACGTTCTGCTGCCTGCAACATCCTCCAGCATGACCGGTTTGGCAGTGGGTCAGTAATGGTGTGGGGTGGCATTTCTTTAGGGGGCCGCACAGCCCTCCATGCGCTCGCCAGAGGTAGCCTGACTGCCATTAGGTACCGAGATGAGATCCTCAGACCCCTTGTGAGACCATATGCTGGTGCGGTTGGCCCTGGGTTCCTCCTAATACAAGACAATGCTAGACCTCATGTGGCTGGAGTGTGTCAGCAGTTCCTGCAAGACGAAGGCATTGATGCTATTGACTGGCCCGCCCGTTCCCCAGACCTGAATCCAATTGAGCACATCTGGGACATCATATCTCGCTCCATCCACCAACAGTTGCACCACAGACTGTCCAGGAGTTGGGGGATGCTTTAGTCCAGGTGTGGGAGGAGATCCCTCAGGAGACCATCCGCCACCTCATCAGGAGCATGCCCAGGCCTTGTAGGGAGATCATACAGGCACGTGGAGGCCACACACACTACTGAGCCTCATTTTGACTTGTTTTCAGGACATTATATCAAAGTTGGATCAGCCTGTAGTTTTTTTTTCTACTTTAATTTTGAGTGTAACTCCTAATCCAGACCTCCATGGGTTGCTGAATTTGATTTCCATTGATAATTTTTGTGTGATTTTGTTGTCAGCACATTCAACTATGTAATGAACAAAGTAATAAGAATATTTCATTCATTCAGATCTAGGATGTCTTATTTTTGTGTTCCCTTTATTTTTTGAGCAGTGTATATGCTTTTTGTAAACAAGACCATATATCCTGTTTCAATTTTTTAAATAGTGAAATAATTTTCTTTTTTGCGGATCACTTGTCCCATTTATATTCCACATTACGAAATTATATTCCAAATTTCTACCAAAACCGTAGGATTTCTAATACCCTATATGGTGATCTCTCCCTTAGATTCTTGTTGTAGCTATTCGGAATCCAAAGTGCTAAGGATCTTTGTCATTTTCAGTGCAGATCACCTTTAAACATGTCTAACAATTCTCTCACTTTCCGCACCAAGTTCAATCTGAACCTCTATTGCTTAAAAGTGAACATCACTCCTTTTCATTTATCTCTTTGCAGTATTCTATTTGGAAGTGATTGAAGTACAATCGCTTTTTGTAATTTGGAAGGAAAGTTGACTGTCCAAGAAGTTTATTTTGTGCTCTTGTTTTCAACTGTAAATTGATTGTATCTCGACCGATGAAGAAAGTAAAGGGTCGAACTTAATTCTTTTAAAAGTCGGGCA